TGATTTATTGATTTATGGACTGATGGTTTCAGTTGTACAAACTGTTTTATTTTCTTCATGTGTACAAATCTTTTATAAAAGCTGTCGGATAAATGTAGAAAAGTAAAACGTTCATTATTACTATTATAAGTAGAAATACTTCAAATGTTCTTCAGTGTAAATAAAGTTCTGTATGCAGATATAAGTGTGTGTGTGTGTGTGTGTGTGTGTGTGAGTGAGTGAGAGAGAGGTCAGAGGTCATCAGGCTGAACAAACAACAGATGATGTAACGGCGTCCGTGTTGTTGTTTGTCCTGAGAGGACGGACTCTGTGGACTAACGAGCTGCTGGTCTTAATGAGCTGATTAATGAGCCGCTCTCAGGTGACCTCATTAACTCACCTGAGCCACTGACCTCTGCTTATCAAGAGTCAATTAATTGTCTTCTATGATACCGTAGGTCATCATCTCAGCAATTTACTCTCACAAATTAACTTTAATATTGGCAGCCACAGACCTCCATACGGAAACTTAAAGACAATATTTGTATTTAAAAACTATTATTATTATTATTATTATTATTATACATCACACACACACACACACTCTTTGGTTTTGTGATAAATTTATTTGGTATCTGTGAGTAACTACAGTCGTAGTGTTCTCATACATGTCATCTGCAGTTCATCAAACTGATATATTTTTATAAAAATTAGAGAAATATAATCTACATACATCTAATACAAAAACAAATCAGGAGTGAGTCAACTGCTTGCTTTAGTATTGGGGGGGGGTTAATGACTGTGACAAATTAAGTGCTGACGAAGATCTCCAAGAAGACGGATGCTCAAATGATAATATTATAATTATGAATCTGTGCATTAAATAAGTCTAAAAATAAAACATTCTTAAACAAACGCACAAACAGGCCCAGTAAGTTTTAAACATGGTTCACACACACAAACACACTCTGGTGAAGTTTCTTTGGTTTCTGGTTGAGCCCACGAAGCCTTTAAATAAATGTTTTAAAGCACAAACAAACAGCTGGAATGTGGCAAAAAAAACCAAAAAAGTTTAAAGAAACGACTTCGACATCAGCGTGAACACGAATGAAAACGCGGCGGAGACGACTTCAGATTGCGTCCGGTTTCTACCAGAAGCACTGACGGTCGGGGGTCAGGTTCGGCACCTGAAGCTGCTGCTGGAGGGATTTTATGGAAGATTTATCAATCGGTGATGGATAATAACACATCATCATCATAGAAACATTCTGAACATTTTTTTTTAAGACAAACTGTCTTAAAAAAAAACTAACTTTGAGATAAAGGTCTTGCAATTTAAAAAAATCATAATTACGAGATAAAGAAATCAGATTTACTCGTAATTATATGATCCACAAAATTACCTGACAAGCAATTTAAAAACAGAATAAATAATTACAAGTTTTGAGTCACAATTAAAGGATTTCTATCTAATAGTCCTGATATTTAATCTTCAATCTGAGATAAAGATTTCGTAATTAAGAAATTAGTGATTTCATATTGTAATTATGGGATGTTGAGTCATAATTACAATTACATAAATCAACATTATGAGAAAATGTCTCTAATTTCTTTCTGTGCCTCCAAACAAAATCTCAGAGATCAACTGTGGACTGTGTTTAGTTTTTGGGGGAATTTGGACAGAATTGAAATTATTTATTAATTAATAAGCGTGTCATTAGCGGGTTGAAGGCAGCTCACCGTGTAATAAAGGTCGTAAACTCTGAGCGTCACCGTGACTCTTTAAGGCTAACAACGTAAGGCAGAGGTGATGTTAGCTGGAAGATGGTTTCAGGATAAAACTGCTGTCGAAGTCAAAAACACAAACGAGTCAGAAAGAAAAAAAAGTGCTCGAACAGAAGAACCAACGTTTCTCAAACAAGGAGCAGCTAGATTACCGACTTCAAATGGGAATATTCTTATTTCATTAATCATCATCCTGAGCTTTATACTGACAGAGCTGGGTCACATTAGCATTAAGGCATTTGGTGGCAGGAGTCGACGGTTGGACTCCATTACCCAGAAGCACCGTCTGTCACTGAATCGGAATCTGAGACTGAGGTCGACATTAAAATGAAAATACTGCTAATAAATAATATTAATTAAGATGAAACGTGTCCGGCTAACAAGCTGTGCTAATGTCACTCAGTTCTTTATCTGATGTTTGTTTGTAACCGTTAGTTTGCTCTCTATCAGAAGTTAGCTTTAATGTTGTTAGTTACATATTCTGTATAAAATGTATTTAGTTGGTCAAAGCTGTTCTAATTAACTGCTGCTAATTAGTTAATGGTTATTAGCTTTTGAGCTAACATTAATTAGGGTGACGTTATCTTTCTATCTGATTCTAGTGACGTTAATAAACCCTGAACTCGTCTCAGGACGCTCAGACAGTTAATCAGTAAAATCTGGATCATCTTTAGGTGATTAATCTAAAGCCACTTTACTGTTAGGTGACCAAACTCTGTGATATAAAGCTCTGTTTATCTCTGCCTTCCTCATTCTTCCATCGTACCATCGTCTTCCTCACCTGGACTCCCACAGGGAGCAGGTCTGGTACACATACAGTACATTATCGTGGTTCAGGTATACAGAGAGCTAAAGTCCCGCGCCCTGCAACAACAACTACATCTCCCATGAGTCTCTGATGAAGAGAGGGAGCTGAATGTTATCATACCTTCCTTTAGTAACTCTTCATCAATGTGCTTCCTCGCAAAGGTTTTCTGTCGTGATCTTTCGTATCGAGCTGAAACAAGTTTTTTTTTATCCATATTCTAAAATTTTACCACCATTTTATCAGATATAACAATTGTTATTTTGTTAGCATTCAACAACTACATCTCCCACAATCCTCTGACACTGTACTGCTGTCTAAAGAATCATGGGAGGTGTAGTTTTTAACACATTAAAGCTTCCTGTCAATAAACAAACGTTTCTGTTTACGTCATGTGTTTCCTCGAGCTCTAGTGATCGCTGATATCAGAACTTTTAAATTATATTTTAATATGATGAAAATCCAGATATCTTGTTCCGTCTGTTAGAGGAAACCAACCAATGAACAGAGGCTAAGCTGAGGGGGGCGGGGCTTATGTTCTCCACGGGGATCAGGTGGGCGGGGTTTAGCACACACTGTGACGAATAAAGAAAATCTTTTTTTGGGGTGTTTAGCGAGCGGGGGGGTTGGATCGGTCCTGCTCCGGTCTGACAGGATGAAGAGGAGTAGCACCTCCTCCTCCTGTGGGAGTCCAGACCAACACTGCTTTATTCCTCTTCTTCCTCCTCCTCTTCCTCCTCTTCCTCTCCAGCCATCACCTCCACCAGCAGCTCGGCGGTGCAGGTCGCCTCCCCCAGACTGTTGACCGCCTTCACTGTGTACTTCGCATCGTCGTCACCGGACACCTGCAGGGTATCAATACCTCGTTAGTATGATTAATAATATTATTGATCAGTATACACTGTATCTTTATGGATGTTATT